AACTTCTTCTACTGCAAAATTAGCCCTTCCTTTACACCCTGCTTCTCTTCCAAAATAGACTCAAGGCAGTTTACAACACACACGTGAGCACATAAACACTCAACATAAAACTGAGATTGGGCTGGGGTAAGAATTTTATTAAGAAACCCTGGCACGAAGTGGGAGGATTGCTTTGCTTAAGGCCAGGAGTTTGGGACCAGCCTAGGCAATACAGTGAGACCCAATCTCTGAAAACCAAAAATAGCTGAAGTAATGTATACCTGTAGTTTTAGCTACTTGGGAGGTTGAGGTAAAAGGATCATTTGAGCTCAGGAGTTTGAGGCCGCAGAGAGCTATAATCATTCCACTGCACAGAGTGAGACCCTGTCTCTAAAAAACCCAGAAACCCTGGCAGAGGAAAGAACAGCAGTTGAACACAAGCCTTGGTTTTTAGTTTCCTCACAGCCAGGGCAAAAAGGAAGGCAGTAGAAAATGAAGCATTTCTTACCTATAGAATATAGATCAGCTACACAGGGAGCATAATTAACCCCTAGTTTTAAGCTCAGATGAATTTGTTTTAATGTCTTTATCAAAGGGGTACTGTACAAGGAAGTGATTTGTTCCATAGCAATTTTACCCCATAGTAGACGTCTGGTTGGCTTACTGGTCTGCAGGCTACCTGCACAGGATCTAGGCCTGTCTTGCCTTGCTTCTCACACCTTGGCCTTCCTCTCCCATCTGCTCTCTGCTGGGGGCACCTGAGTGCAGAGTAGTCATCTGAAGGCGCCCTCCATGAAAGAACCTCATCGTCACATTGCCCCGATGACTCTAAACAGAGCTTTACGTCAGCACTCCCTCTGGAGTCATACATAATGCAACACCATTAGCCACAGGGAGCTGCAGTCTGACAGGACTGACTGAAGCAGAGCCAGCCACCTTTCTGCTGCCAGCGTTTCTAAAACTGGGGGATGCAGGGCTGAGGGGAACTGGCCCCTTATTCCCATAGTACCTTGCCTCTCTGGAGTAAGGGTGATTCCAAGAGCTCTGCAAATCCAACATGTTAGAACTTTAGCATCAATAGTAAAGAAACAAAAGAGAATGACAAAACAGAAAAGGGCCTCACCTGTGACAGTGAGGCCCTCCTACTCAGGTCCTTCACTGGAACAGAGCAAACTTATTATCATTTCTTCCTCTTTCATTTAGATCAGCGGTTCTCAACCTGCGGGTCGCAACCCACAGGAACTGTATTAAAGGCTCATGGCATTAGGAAGGTTGAGAACCACTGATTTAGATGCAGGCTCATAGTCTTGAATGCCTTTGAGAACCTTTCCCCACTTCCCAGCAAAGTGTCAAAGCGATTGGCACAGAGGTCGGAGGTCAGTGGTGTGGAGCCATAGGCTTGGACTCTGGTTCTACAATCGCCAGATGTATGAACCTCCAAAGTCCACAGACATAACATGGAGATCATAGCAGTACTTATCTCCACTGGGTTTTTGAGAAGAATAAATGAAATTACATATGCAGAACCTCATGCATAGAAAGCAATCAATCTGTGTTAAATCATTATTACTTACGAAAATACAAAAAGAATTCTGCATACTGTTTCAGAGGCCCATGATTTATTTCTAAGGGATCCTCAGGTTCCAGCTGGTGAAGAAAACAGCTCTCACCAGATCCCATCAGCACAGTAAGCATCTGCTGTGCACTGGGCATCCCAACTCACATGGGTATCTTGGGCACCACTGTCATCAGCACACCTGAGGGCTAGGGTGATTCGTTCCATAGCAATTTACCCCCCAAATTTCAACAGTTGTTGTTGATCTGTCTTCTGATTCACTGAGCTGTCTTCATCTGAGGAAAAACTTGAGGCTTCTGAGGACATTGCTCTTCATCTTGCACTATCAGTGACACTTCGTGCACATGAGATTGTAAGACACATACCCAGGGTCCTCAGACTTGGCGGGGACTTCTTCACAACCAGTGCCGGCAGTGTGAGTTTTCATGAAAAAGAGCTCTTATTCAGAGGGGCGCTGGCTGCCTGGAACTACACAAATCATTAAATCACTTGAGCAACAAAGTCCAGGGGAGAGACAGGTGTCAGAGATCGTGCTTGAGTCTGGACTTGGCCTCTTACAAACGACCTCAAGAGTACCATTTCAGGCT